ATGTTTTTCATAAGAAACAATAGCAATATTCCCATACCACATTAATATATTCATAAGTAGTGTTGTAACATTTCAAAAGTTTCTCTAATACTGAAAAAAATCTATTCCCAAGTGGGGTCTATGTTTTTTCAAGTTACAATAGTGATTTCAGTAGTTTTATGTTATCATAACAGTTACACTTACACATAATTAAGCTTGAAATAGATACCAACATTACATTACACTTATTTCAATACATATGCACTATATTTGCATCCTTTTTTACACATAAAATATCCTATCCATTTAAATATCACATGTGCAGTCTGCTTCCTAAAAAAATAATATAAACTACAAACATATTTACATAACTTGTCACTACCACAAGTGCAAAAATTATGGTGTGGATGTCTGTGCCAAAGTCATTCCACAGCAAAACACATTAAATAAATAAAAAATTTATGTATTTCAATTTCAAACCAATTAATATGTATATAATTTTCACCCCCTTCAGTCTCCATATCCATTCTTAAATTGAGATTCCTATATCATTTTTAGCATGTCCAACCTGATTACATCTTGAATAATGGTACACCTTCTTGTTTTGAAAATGGGACTCTTCGCTTGGTGTATAGTAGTCTTGGCAAACATGAAGACAATGGTGATTCTAAAAAAGTATATTCTTCATAATGTAACTCGATCAACTAAGACATGTCAATGATTTCCACTAAAATCATGGTAGAGCTATAAATTTTTTCTTGTGCATAGATACTTTTGTAAATATAATTGTATCATCAAATGTCTGTCCAACACCCATAAATTAATCCTTCTATTTCACTTAATTAACCTCAGGGAGTAGAGTAAGAGCATTTTGTATTGAAAATGACAAAGAGAGTGATATACCTTCAAGCTCTTGCATTGAGGGAGATTCTGACAGTGACCATGTTAAGAAATTTTTCATCTTACATTCACAATAACTCACAGGTTAATACTTTTTTTACTAAAGTACTTGCCGTATAGGAAATAAACTTGAAACAACTAGGAACAACATATAAATGTATTACTTCACAACTATCCTCCACATAATCCTAACTATTGATTACAACAATTCAGTATTCATAGTACATTTTTCAACATCGATATACTTTTCATCACATAAAAAAATCAGCATTCACGTAATATCTTTCTTTTTATTTCACTCAATTTTTTTAACACCATCAATGTCAGAAATTATTTATTATATATATATATAATCTATACAATCATCAACAAGATCTCTTTTATTCTTAGTTATGGAAGAGAAATGATGTTAAATATCATTTACAAATATATAAAAATTATCTTTCGTCCAAGAGAGAAGAGAAGACATAAAAGATAGAGAGAAGGAAAAATGTAAAAGTCTAGATTTTTCACGCAGGAAAAGGGAGAAGATGTAAAAAAAGTAGGCATGTAATTACCAATCACGGAGAAGGGAAGAAGATGATGACCCAGATGACAATTCACTCTACTAAAAATTATGATTTTTTACTTAGATTTTTCTCTCATAAGAGCACATGAGAGCAGATTTTTCGCATCTAAAACAAACAGAGAACACAAGCATAAGCTGTTCTCTTTAGTATTTAGTGAAAGGTAATTCTATAAAGTTAGGTATGTTTTTTATTTCAATTAAAGACCATAGTCCTTACTTAAAAGTTTAATATTTTATGATCGTTAATTAAGATTAATATTTGTAGGGGGTCTTTAATTGTCATTTTTTCCCAATAATATTTTTTAGGCCAAGATAATAGCATGTAATTCACATTACATGCTACAATGTCAAAGAGTGCGACAAAATGTTAAAAATAGAATTCTTGGCCTTTTATTAATTAACTAGCCTTTTAATACAAGAGCAATTTAAATTTCAAGGAAAAAACAATTTAAATATTTATAAATAAAGATTTTCAAGTTCACGAGTTTAAATAAACTCACAATAGGTATATGAACTTGAATAGTAAAATTGGATATTAAATTCATAAAAGTTTACATATATTAATTGACAAATAGCTATTAAAATTATATAATCGAAATATAAAATATGATTATAATTTGATTTAAATATATTTCCAATCTAAATCATTGAATCTACATGCATAGATTACCTTACTCAACATGAATATTTAGAATAAGGCAACTTAATTTTGGTATTTGTTGTTTTCTTTTAAATTAATATTATTTTTTGTTTTTTGAGTTTTATTTTCTTTATTTGGAGCAAGTCTTATTGCTTTTATGAAACAATTTGTATATAACATATATTTAATTTTCTCAACTTAAAAAATTGACAAAAGTTAGCAAGTTGAACCGAATCATTCACGAGTTTAACTGAGTTCACAACTGGTCCGAATTTTTGAATGAGTTGATATGATTTTATAAGTTAAAATATTAAAATATGTTATCTTGAAGAGTCAATTCAAGAGTTAAAATGAACTTGCACTTAGTTTGAGTTTATGATTGAATTGACATGATTTTATAAATTAAAATACAAAGAGTACTCAGAAAGCAAGCTCGCAATTTGGACAACAATTTATATAACCAAAGTCTTTTGTTCTTGGCCAAATGAGAAAAATGGTATTATTCCAATTAAAACAAAACTAAGTCCATTAAACAACAATCAAACTAAACAAACCCAACCCCAAAACAAAAGCCCTACTTTTAAAATACAGACAAACTAAATAGAAGCAGACACAAAAGGCTTAAGAGGCACCACGTATGGTATGCCATGTGAATTACGCACCAACAACCAAAATCTTCACTTTGAGGACTTTCATACATGACCTATAATTATATTAAACTAGTAATACATTAGTGCAATGCATGGGGTATTTTTTATTTTTATGTAAGCTAATAATAAATAAAAGATCAAATATTATACAATATGTATAATCATTATATAGTAAATTTTGTACAAATATGTTATATAATTGAGATATTAAAAATTATCAATTTTACTAATAGCCGTTGGTCCAATTGGAATGGATTATTTAGTTGCTTAAACATAAGGTCTTGAGTTTGAATTCGTGTAAATGTATAAGCCACATAAGCAAAAATTAATAGATTTAACCCAATTAGTGATACATAAACATGGTCTACGTTGATCCATTAATGGCAAGGATAAATGTTTTAGACCAACCAAAGTTGAACGCGACATGTTAAAATTAAAAAATTGAGTTACAATTGAATTAAAAGTTGAAGGACTAAATAATTAATTTTTTCTTTAATTTAATATCATTTGAGGTACTAAAGATTTTACATTATCATTAATCAAGAGCAAGCTCTCTCTTTTAGTGTTAAGATGTCTCATTCTATTTCGAGTAAAACTTGGTATTGTTTTTTAAGAAAAAATATGGATCTTAAAATTTTAAATTGATATTAAAATATATTTTCAAGATTATTTTGAGATATTTACATATTAAAAATCATATACGTATGACAATATGAATCTTCTTAAGCTCTGTTTGGTACAGTGAAAGATTTTTTATGGAATTGAAATTGAAATAAAAATAGAATTGAATTTTAAAGTGTGTTTGACAGTAAAATGGAATCCTGATATAATTTTGATAAGTATATATATTTAAAATAAAAAGACTAAAATGTCCTTAGAAAAATAAAAAAAATCAGCATCACACCCTTGCAATTATAGTACTACTGCCACAACCTTCATATATGTTTTTGCAACCACTGCACAGATCAAGTGCACGGTGATGATGCAGTAATTCTCATGAGGCGAGTATAAAAGAATGATAAAATCTTGAAAACAAATAATAAATAAAAGCAATCCCCTACTTGATTCACAGTTAAATAAAGCAAGACAAGGCATGGGCATATTATTAAAATTAGGTAACCATTAGCCACCAAATCAAATTAATTTTAGAATACTGATCAAGTATTATAAGTGAAGTCCTTGATTCATCATCTCCACGATCTGTTACCGAGCAATTTTACTACAAAAGTTCTAAAACAGTCAAAAGAAACATCATCGTGATCTAGGAGCCATAGAAAAGAGCTCAGAGATAGCAACCACTTATTAGGTAGAAGTCATCGATCAATCTAGAAGGTTTGTTGTTGCTAGCGATAAAGGTGGTCATTGCTTAATGCTATAATGGCTAAAGGTGAGCGACAGTAGGTTAGGGTGAGGGATGATAATCAACAAGGAGAAGATGACGATGGGGGTAAAGGTGGGCATAGAAATTAATTCTAGGTAATTGAACCAATTCCATAACTAAGAGGATGGAATTTGATTATGGCTTTTCTCCTTGAATCTGAATTCTTAAGAATTGTGATTAGGTTGTACCAAACAACACTTGATCAGGATTTCTATTCCAATTCCATTTCTAAGTCTATGGTTCTTTGATACTAAATATGACCTTAATTTTTAAGAAAATATCTATAACAATGCACTCAAACATATATGTATCCTCTAATAGACAATGAATTAAGTTTTAAGAGATTAGTTAATTAGTATTTAATATGAATATGTGTTATATACCTTGGCCATATTTTTTTTAATTGAGTGAAAGAAATTTAATCTTCCTAAGCTCAACTTTAAAATTTTTTAAATTTATTCGAGTTGGGATTTGGACCTCACTAATATTATCCCAGAGAGGATCATCCTTCAAGCATGCCATTGATTTTGCCTATGTTAGTACAGTAGTATGGATATTTGCACAAATATTTTTCCTAAGCTCAACTTTAAAATTTTTTAAATTTATTCGAGTTGGGATTTGGACCTCACTAATATTATCCCAGAGAGGATCATCCTTCAAGCATGCCATTGATTTTGCCTATGTTAGTACAGTAGTATGGATATTTGCACAAATATTTTGCTAATACAATGGCACGTGTGTTTGCCTAACTTAATTTTATATGGACATAGATAGATGATTTATGCCATTTTATTATGCACGTTAATTCAATGTACGCCTCTAAATTCAAATGAATTTTTACCAATCAAAATGCCATATTAAAATAAATTAAATACACCAACATGATCTCAAATGTAAATATAATTTCAATAAAAACTACATACACCAATTAATGTATATACAATATGATAACAAAATAAAATTAATATATATATGTATGTATGTATGTTACCATGTTCAAGATTGAATGGGATGTCACCACGTTGAAACTAAATAGAAGCAGACAAGGAAGGCCTAAGAGGCACCTCGTATGGTATGCCACGTGAACTACGCACCAACAACCAAAATCTTCACTCTGAAGACTTTCATGCATGACCTGTAATTATATTAAATTAAGAATCAGGCACACATCGCGTAATTGACGGTGATTTAATTAAATTGTTTAGTGCAATTATAGGTCTTAGAAAGCCATCAGATATTTCCTCCAGTTTTATTTGTAAAAGAAACCATCACTTTTAACTTATTTTTTATATAAATAAAATCACATTTTTTAATATGCAATTACTGCAAACTTTTTAAATTATCCCTCACAATTTTATCAATTATCCCTCACAATTTTATCATTCACAGTGATAATAAATAATTAATAAAAGCTTAATTGACATAATTAATTAAGGGTATTACAGTTTAATTTTTTTATGTTAAAATATACTTTTAGTCATTTAACTTCATATAAGGTTTCATTTTGATCCTTTAATTTTAAAAAGTACATTTTTAATCTTTTAATTAGTTTCATCACACAAAAAAATTTATATTGAATTTTTAAATACTAACAAAACAATCTCAAATATTAACTTATTAAGTTTAAATTTTTAAAAATAACAATTGGCATGAAAAAGTCATTCAAAACTAAAAATGTTAGGGTTCTAGGATAAAAAATATTCTTTATAAAATTAAAAAATTAAAATAAAATTTTATGTAAAATTAAAAAATTAAAAATATATTTTAATTATTTTTATATTTTTGAACATAATTAATATAGTTAATTAATTTTTTTAAATTATGCAATAGATTTTTTTTTTTTACAAATAAAAAGTGGGGGAGTATATAAAACCGTCCTCTAAGCTTCCGCTGCTGCCAGAGAACGCAAAACCGATCCACATCTCCTTTCATCCGTAAAGATAGGGGGAGAGACGTGGAGTGAGAAGGACATGGAGCGGCGAGGCTTTGATGCTGGTCAGCCCGACCTGTTCTTGCATATCCACGTGTTCGTTATGAGGGGTTGCAATATCAAAGCCGTGCAGCAGATTGGCAAGTGTTAGCTGTGTCACGTGGAGAGCAAATGAAACTCCAGGGCACATTCTTCTGCCCGCACCAAAAGGGATCAATTCAAAATGCTGGCCCCTTGGATCCACGTTCTTGTGGGTAGTCAGGAATCTCTCTGGCCGAAACTCCAATGGATCTTCATAAACTCGTGGGTCTCGATGGATCTTTGAAAGGTTGGTCAAGAGACGCGTGCCAGAGGGGATGTGGTAGCCAGCCACGGTGCAGTCTTCCATAGACTCGTGCACCACACCCAGCGGTGCAGCTGGGTAGAGCCGCATGGTTTCCTTGAGGATGGCTTGCAAATAAGGCATGTTCTTCAAGTCTGATTCCACTACTAACCTCTCTCTCCCAACTTGTGTGTCTAACTCGTGCACTGCCCTTTTTATTATATCTTCACGGTTGTTCATCAGTAAAGACACAGCCCAAGTCAGCGTCACTGTTGTTGTGTCTGTTCCAGCTAAAATTAGGGCCTGCAAATATATTTCCTATTCAACTTTCAATTTTGCAGAATTGGTGACTGGCAACCAGGCACATCTAGATCAATTTATATGTTTGCCGGTACAGAGAATCAATTAGTATTTCGTGCATAAAACGGGATACGCGAATAAACTATCTTAATCGGTGCAGCTTTAAGAAATAATCTAATTTATTGGCAAAAGGCGCTAAAATATTGGAGATTCCCGTTCAATATTATGCAGAGCGAGGCCCAGTCTCGTTTGAGAGAGTTTTGCCTTGTGAGGTTCTCAGGGGTTTTGACGAGGCAGATAAGATTTTTAACAGGAGTTCAAGTTTGGTTCTGAACAGCTTAATCTAACTCTCAAAGGATTCTATCTCCCTCTCTGCTTTTTTTTTAATTCTCAGGATGCTCTTTTTAATTTGGTATTTTAAAATATATACAAGCACATTATTAGACACACGCCGGCGGGAAAAGAAAAGGAAAATTTGATGTCATTCTGATGCTTGGTCATATTTGGCATATTTTCCCCCAAACCCCCTTTTTTCCCTTTTGCCAAAAATAGGCTCTGCCTAACTTTGTCCTCGCTGCCTATACAGAACATAATAACCTCTCACACTTGTATGTGCATTCACATCTCGAGGAGCAGCATTAACGAGATTAGTAAAACTATATGAATTCGCAGCAAAGCAATAGAAATTAGCAAGTTAAAAATTGAATATAAATTAAAAGGGCTTAATTAGAGATATATGTGAAGGACTGACCAGGCTTGTAGCTTTAATGATAGCATTAGCATCGTGGCCGTCAATCATTTCAGCTTCATCCACGATGGAAAGAAGCACGTCCATGAAGTCGCCGTGCTCAGCTTTGGCCTTCCCTGAACCAGAGTCGTCCCTGTCGCGCCTGTGTTCATCCACCCAAAACTGAACAAACTGGTCCAACTCTTTCGCTGTCTTCTTCATGGCCTTCTCTTGCCCGCCCAAATCCAGCCACCTCAAGTACGGCAACGCATCTGATATCACGAATGACCCACTCAGATCGAACAAATCCCTCAATGCTTTCCTGATCCTCTCTTGCCCCTCCGTCTCAGCAAAACGTTTTCCGACCACCATTCTGTACACGACATTTAAGGTTATATCTCCCAACCATTTCTTCATCTCGCATGACAGGGGCACTGCTTCTAGATTCTGATGACCACTACTGCTGTTCAACTCTGCCCAACGATCGTAGGTATCTTTCAAGGCTGACTTTACCTCGTACTCTCTCACATGTTTGAGCGTCTCGAGGCGATGGTTGGAGAGGACCTCCAGGGTGGCGATCTTGCGTACTTGGCGCCAATAAGCTCCGTAGGGACTGAAGCCGATCATGCCAAAGTTGTAGCCCATGACTTCGAAGGCCACCAGTCTGGGACGGCTCGCGAAGGCTCTGTCGTTCACAGTGAAGCATTCCTTTGCAATATCCGAACTGCTCACAATCAAGGTTGGGTGAACCCCAAGCCTTACGGTGAAGATTGGTCCGTATTTATCGGCCATGTTGCCTAGAGTGATATGCGGTGGCTTTGAGCCACCTAAAAGGTGGAGGTGCCCAATCACAGGCCACGCTCCGCTGGCTTCCGGTGGTGGCTTTCTGGCGTTAGTTTTGTTTCTATTGCTTTTTGATATGTTGAAAATAGCGTAGACAAGGATTAACAATCCGAGAATGGTGAACGGGATGGTTGATTGGGTGGGGATCATCCACTGCATGGCCATGGTTTCTGGTGCTGGGTGTGGCAGTGGTGAAGTGATCATGTTTATAAGGAAGGTGCAATGCTAGCCGACAAAGTGTGGACTGTGTGGAAGGGATTGAAAAAAAAAAACAAAGAAAGAAAGCGGATCAGCGGGACAGCTCAACTTGTTAATATTTTAATTATATCAGAGATCCTAGAAGATTTGCATACTACTTTCTTTGGCGGAGTCAGCAATTACGTGCACGATTGGTAAAGCTGCGAATTAGGGACCTCAAAAAATCAACCTTTAAAAGATCAGAAAATTATGCATCAGGGCCCTCTTTTATAAGACTCAATTTTAGCTCTCAAGGTCGAAGGTCGGCCCTCAAAGTCTCATCCTTAATTTTTTTACTTTTTTTTAATTTAAAATTTTAAAAATATATTTATAATCCTAAAAAAAATTGTTGTACATAAAATTAAGTTTAAGAAATAAATTTAAGTCAATTTGTACTATAACAAATAAAAAAAACTTAAACATTTAGATTTAATATCAAATAATAACATCAAAGTTAATACTAATAAAAATTAGACTTCACTAACATTATCAACTAAATCTCAATGAATGAATGAGAGAAAGACAAATGAGTCTAATATGTTTTTTTTTATTATATATTTAATTTTTTATTTGTTATATTATAATTTTTTAAAAAATAATAAAATAGTTTAAAAAGACTAAACTTTTTATTTTCGGATTTAAAAAGGCTGATCTTTTTAAGTTTGAATTTTTTTTTCAAAGTAATGCCTTTTTCAGGTTTAATAGGGCTAGTTTAAGAGGTTCAACTCTAATTGACAGTTCTAATAGTTGGATCTCAGCATGCCAATCCAAGGGAAGTCAAAAATTTTGTGTTATATTTATAGTATATGTTCTTAATTTTGATCAATAGATTGCACAGGGGCAAAAACTGCCATGTATTTATTTTAGTTATTATTGTCAGCTTTTTTATTTATAAGGAGAAAACTTATATAGTTAGTTTTTAAAAAATTTTATAGTTAGACCCAATCCACAATGTCATTTATGATCCGACGAATCAGAGTCACCTTATTTTATAATCTTGGTGAGCAATTTTTTAATCTAGATTATTTTATATTATTTTGTTCCTCTCACCTGCCCTTCTTCGCTCAAAAGCCATTTATTTTTAATGGTACAGAACCTGTTGCTGCTGACGAAGAGAAAGGCAAGCGCAATTGTCATCAATAAAGAAAAATTCAGCGTTGAAAAAAGATCGAACGGCAAGCCAAGTCACACGAAATCACAAGAGAGAGAGAAGGGTGATATCACATACTTAAAAAACACTAGAGACATACTATTGTTCAAACTTCAAAGCCACAGAGAGAAAAGAGTTACATATGAAATTACAAAAATAAACATGCTGGAATTGCAGACTGGGGAGGAAGAGTGTCATATCTTTGAAAGGTTTCAGCAGTGACCAGGCTTTCTTCTTCATCAGCGGCATGTATGTGAAATTTGCGTCAGGAGAAAGAAAAAGGTCTTGGTGGAGAAGGGGAACTAAAATAAATTAAGTTAAATTATATATTTAGTCTTTTAACTCATTTTAATTTTTTAATTTTATAAAAAAAATTTTAATTCTTTAATCCTAACATTGTTAGTTTCATCCCAATAAATTTTTATATTGAACTGTTAAATATTAATAAAACATCCTCAAATGTTGACATATGAAGTTTAATTTTTTTCAAAATAACAAAAATTGAAACAAAAAATAATCAGTTGAAACTAACAATGTTAGATTTAAAAGATTAAAAAGATATTTTACTAAATTAAAGGATCAAATTAAAACTTTATATAAAGTTAAAAAATTAAAAGTATACTTTAGCCAATTGTTTGATCTAAATATGAAACGTCGCTCAAATAGGTTACGAGGCTAGTTGGGTTGAGTAATCAAAGCGTTAGGCCTAATATAAATCAAAGAGGCCAGCCCCGAAACTTAATAAAGTCCATAACAAATCTCGTTAACTTCAAATATTAGATTGTTGGCACGAGAACACGATATACTGCTGAAATCTACGCCCGAGTAGTTCAGTGAAACGGGCTGGTTATCAAAATAGAGAGACCGTGCCATAAGTTCTGTAAGATTCCTGATTCCTCAACAGAACATGCTAAATCTCAAAGGAAAAGCTTCTGTTATTCGACACTATAAATAGAAAGAAGAAAAACAGAAAGTGAGCCAACACTCGATAAAGACTTGCATATTTTACATTCATTAATCCTTTTTAATTCTTAATTCTAGTCTATAATTTTTACACTTCAATTAAATTACACACTTATTCTACCAAAATTTTTTATCTTTTTACATCCGAGCGAACTGTGATAAGGGAACTCGGGACTCTTTTTATTATCTACTGAGATTCAACATCTCTGGCACGCCTGGTATTTATTGTTTAACCACGAACAATTTGTGGCACACCCAGTAAGACCTGTGTAACAAAGATGGCAAGGACGTGAAAAGATAAAATGACTGATGAAACAGGTGTTGGTTCTCACGAACCAGAAGGGATATCTGCACACGCAGGATCAGAACACTTATTGCTCGATACTGGAGCAACTGAACATCGTGAGCACGTAGTGTCGGTGACAATAGGTAGCAGCAGCACGAGCCCTAACTTAAAGTTAGGAAGTGGCAAACCTAACCCACTGATCATATGCAACGGACCTATGCAAAGTACTGTGGGAAATTCAAGACTAGATGGATAAGCAGCTGGAAGAGAACTAAAGGTTCTTTGTAATATCCCTAGAAACATCAGAACGCAGGGAGAAAAAAAGACAACAGATCATAATGCAAACTCTTCATGAAGGCATAAAGAATATAGCCGCATTATTGAGAGGCACCCATCTGGAAGTAGGCTCAAGTGTAGGGCTGCTTAGGGGGCAGCAAACTGGAGTCAATATAGGTGCTGGCTATCAAGGTCACACACTTGTAAGAGACATCCTTAACTATCAAATATTTGTACACACTCATCCTTTAATTAATCCTTCCTATTATCTACAGGATCCTAGTATGAGTGGCCTGGGGGGCACAGCAGTGATCCCGAAACATGCGGTCGAGCCTCAGAATTAACTAGTGAACATGGAGGCTTTGAAAGACTCCATTCAAGATATATATGGACTAGTGCTGAGGCTAATTGGTCTCTCCACCTTCTTAAAACCTTATCCGGAGTACATAGATAGAGACAAACTATACCCTCAGGGGTACATGATCCCTGACTTCACATTATTCTTAGGAGATGAGACACAGTCAACCCTAAAGCACATTGGGAGGTTCACAATCCAGTGCAGCGAGATTGCTAATTATGAGAACTTCACTGACATAAAGCTGAGGTTGTTTCTAAATACTCTCACAAGCCCGATGTTCACATGATATACGTCACTACCTCGTAACTCAATCATCAGCTAGATGGAGATAGAGCAAAAGTTTCACATCCAATTCTATAAAGCAGAGCCAAAAGTTAGCATTACGGAACTCTGCAAGCTCACACAACGGGCTGGAGAGACTGCAGACCAATACTTGGTGAGGTTCAAACATTCTTAGTTTTTAGTCTGTAATTTTAACACTTCAATTAAATTACACACTTGTTTTACCAAAGCCTTCAATCTTTTTACATTAGAGCGAACTATGGTAAGAGAATTCGGGACCCTATTTGTTATTTATTGAGACTCAACATCTCTAACACGTCTGGTATTTATTATTCAACCACGAATACTAATAAATTAATATAGATTAAAAAATTGCCACTGGGGATTAAAAAAAGGTGCCAATGAGTGCACGAGCCTTTTCCTTTTTACAATTCAAAGAGTAGAAAATGATTGTTTTGAACAAAATAAAATTTTGAATTTAAGAAAAATCATGTGTTTATATAAATACTATTAATAATATTTTATAACATTTCATACTTTAAACGTATTTTCGAAAAAGATAATAATATTTACCCACAATGTTATATACTATTCGTCCCTTGCACAAAAACTAAAACAAAAAAAGTTGAGTAAATATCTTGTCAAACCAGGATCTTGTGAAAACAACAGCACAGTTCCGTTAATCAATTGAAATATCGGTAGTATTTTTTCAATAATTTTAAATTATTCATAATGACTTTAGGACTTCGGCAATTAAAAATAGGTATTTTGTGTGATAAACTAAGGTTCAAATTTTCACTAAGAGATTTACTTATATTTAATACTCAATCATACTTTGAAAAAGATTACCTTTAGTAGGAGGATAACTATGAGCAATAAAAAAAAATCTCTATTAAAAAATATAAAGCATTTTTAATCGAATCTTACTTTCAATAAAGTAATTATCTATCTTGAAACTAACCCTATTTTTTATGTTTATTCTTATTTTATAGAGTATTTCATCCTAAAAAAATATAAAGAAATATATTTAATAAGAACACTTTAAAAAAAAGTAATGATTATATCTTAAAAGACTCAAAATATCTTACATTTTTAAACATCTAACTTCTCAAAAAATGTCTTATATTTCTTAATGGAAGGAGTGTGTATTTTGTATTTTTTCTATATTGTTATTATTCTTCTGAAGTTTATAATTAAACCTTTACATCATATCTTACTTTTTTTATAGTAAAAATTATAAGAATTACAAATATATAAACATAATTAATTAAAATGTTTAAACCACTTGGAAACTTAGAATTTTTTTAGCATAAACCGTCCGGTATCTTAGGATATTTTGGGTTCATTACCTGCCATAGACTAATCCGAATCTCCCGCGAGGAGACTTTACGGTGGTAGTGAGGTACTGATGGGACGACCTCTTTAAGGTCGCATTAATTATCGTGTCTGTCACTCTTTAGGGTTCGAACTCTCATCCTGAAAAATATTAATAGTAACCCTTGTCAACTTTACCGAGCGCCCATTGGTTGGAAACTTAGAATTAAACAAGTAAAAAGGGGCCTGAGAAGGCGCAAAACTTGTAAGAGCCATACTGAAGCCCATGTGCTTTGGGTGGCCATACTATATGTTTGGGCCAGAAAGGCTGGCCCATATCATGCGGCAGTGGTGTTCAATATCAGCCCGAATGGCTTTTGAACCTTTCGCTGTTTTTTTACAAAAAAAAAAAAAAAACTGAAACTTCATTGCTCAGCTGAAAAATCTGGCCGAAAAATATACTCAGCTGAAAAACAGCAAATTACAAGCCGAACAAAACAAAAAACGAAAACTAAAAGTGGCTTTTACTGCTATTCATTACACTGGATGGGTGTTCTTTTTTAATTTAGGTGTATTCTCCAATTAAGATACATCCATTTTTCAAATATCCTGCCTCAGTAATTTAAGACCACTCTCTCTCATGTGTTTAAATGAAGGATACATGTTTCTTTCCATGTATTGTACAGAATTTTGAGAAATGATTTTTGTTGTCCAGGACTCTTAAATAATAGGACTTGCTATAAATCAACGTCAATATGTCTAGAGTCATAACGTGCAGGTCATGCCTACAAAATGCATGAGTTATTTCCAGTTTTTTATTATACAAACAAGATATATAAAAAAGCAGCTTTCTGGTTGAGAAGCTAGAAAAACATTACACATGGAGTAACAGAAGCAAGAAAAAGAAAAATGAAGATATATATAGAATAGATGATGACACTACTTATTATTTAACGAGCAGAAAATTTGATGCTGGGCAAACTAGGGGTGAGATTGAGAAGGCATGCATGTGATTAATGGAAGAGATGAAATAGATCAGATGGTGGAGCCTCCTCCTCCCACTTGAATTAATACAAAAAGACTGAACCCAGACAGAGTTTGGCCCCAGAAATTATGAACGAACCAAACGGTACATGAATTTCTGAAATGTCAGAGATAATGGGATATGCATGGATCCTCTGAAACAAGAGGATTTTGTGAAACGGTGAAAACACAGTTGTCGTCCAATAGTTAAATCTAGTTTTTTTAACTGCACGAAACACGCTAGTTTTTCAAAGGAAAAAATACAATTTAAGTATCATTAGCCCTGATGAATTTCATGTCGTGTAAATTAAGTATCAGTGTTAAAGTTATAGGCACGAGGAAAGAAATTAACAAATGAAAAGAGATGGATCTCACAAAGTGAAGTTCATCGTCATCGCTCTTGCACGGCTTCATTTGAACCGGTGATATGATAGAATTGGATTGAATACTGAATAGAATGAAAATCAAAGCAGAGTGATATGGGAAAGATATGGATCAGCAATGTCGAGGGGGCAATGAGCATAAATCCTGAGAAAAGGACAAGGCGAAGCAGCCGGCAGAGAGCAATGATGAAGCGCAGAAGCAAGCTTCCAAATTGAAAGGCCCATAAACACCATCAAACGGATATTCATTTGTTAGTCTGCTGAGGAATCACTCACTGTTTATCTGCAAATTAAGGACAATATTTGTAGTACCCAGATACTTTCACCATGAGCTCTTCTAGCTAGGTCCAACACATCATCTACATACAGTAACTACACAAGTTTCATCCATCCGTACTCTCTACTTATACAGGCCTCTTATTTGTATGCTTGTCCTATACATACAAACAACGACACGGCTTCAAAGCGTTTCATAATCATGATACCTGCAGTCCACACACATGTATTGTTTGAGACGCTTTTTATGTTCCCCTGCCTCTTATTTATATTAAATGATTTCTATTTTAATTTGTCCATTACGCCATATATGGGATTTCTAGATTTTCCTAATACACACGTGCGCCCTTGCCTTCTGTTTTGTAGACGTAGGACTTCTGGACTTTTATTTTGTGTAATACTCTTTCTCATGCTTTTTTCTTTCCCTTTGTTCTGAAGTTAGTGTTGTGGGTGTTATTTTATGACTATATAGTATTCGCAACCCCTATTGAATGAGAAATCAAAAACTCACTGCATCTATTTTCTTTTCAATTGTTCAATAGAGTTATTAAAAAAATGCATACATTGATAATTATATATTACATATTGATCAGTACTATTTTAATAAATAATTACTTTTAAGATACTATTAACTAATTCAATAATTAAAAATTTTCATTTTTTAATTTAGGCCTTGTTTGATTGATCATTAGTATAATTAATTATGATAAATGCATCTATTTGAATGAACGAAAATCAAGTCTGTTATCCAGGCACGCACTAAATTTTCCACTTCCTCCATTTTACTTTATCGGTCATGAATGAATCTGGACCACATTGAGAATCTATAGTAACTTTTTTTTTTTTATTAAGGGAACCAATTATTTGCAAACGGATGTGATTGATGAGAAGCATTTATATGTTACGGTGATATAAATTAAACTGACCCACCCATGACCTATATATACCCGATATCATTATATTCCCGAACGGGTGTGTCCTGATCAAGTGCAAATTAAAAATCACGTTACTTTCCCTCAATCTTCCCTTCATTTGACGACGACATGAAAGGGAAGGATCACGTAATTCTTGGACTGAAGCAAATGTCTGTTAGGAAGGATTTATCCCATTCCTCTCTCTTTTTTGCAGACAAAACTCACAAAGACACACATCAATGGGAACCAAATCATTCACATCCACAATAAACAGTTCAGCTTTCGGCATCAAAAGTGTTGGTGACAGGGAAAGGGCAGAGTGTAAGTTTAACAGTTGAGAAGAGCTAAGTCGCTTGATGATTGAGGCTGGTCTGTGTTCCAACTGGGTCTTCCAAGGGTGAATTCTAGGTTAAGCGTCTTATCTGAATCTGACAAGGACCCTCCAACCACCTGTTTCAATTAATCAGCAAAATGTCCCCACAATTATTGTAAACACTTTAGAAAAATATATATGATTACATGCACCAGAGACTACAATGTACATGTGTGTGTGTGTGTGTGGGGGGGGGGGGTTTCTGCTCTGACTCTTTATGTGCCAGCTTTAGCTTACCATGGTTTCTTTCTCCTTCACTTGAGAATGCGTCAAGCTTGTTCCTGGTTTTTGTCTACTATCGTTTGTCCTTGTCCCCGTTGATGATTGCCATGATTCCTTGTTGCTGTGGGTATCAAGCAACATCATTAGAAATTAGTCCCGGATCGAAGGAAAACATTTTACAATCCACAAACTTAAGGGGGGGGGGGGACAGCTTAATCAAACCATTTCAACACTCTATATATATGTGTATATATATAGTATCTGCACAAACCAACTTCGATCAGTAACATCCGAATCCTTAAACTGTGACGTAATTATTAATTATGTGAACTAGGAGTGATTGTCGGAAATATAATCCCGATTTTGGCAATCTAAACTTGATAACCTAGTCAACAACCTTTTACATTGATGAAGGTCAGGGATGGTGATTTGGGACATGCCGATCTGTTAGAAATATCCTATATAATGTCTACGCGATCAACATTTGAGTATCTCCCAGAGAAACTTTCTAGTCCGTAGAATATAAGACACATTGAGATTTCCACCAAATGTATGACTTTGAACTACGTAGTGGGATCAATAAGCGCATCGGTCGACGACCCAGCAGGCGAAGAATGAATATCCGGTGATTATTAATAGGCGTGCACATCACAATGACCACCAACATGCCTAATGAAACCCTAGGAATTTTGTTTCAAAATCTATGCAACCGGTAATAAAAAAGAGAAGCAGAAAGCCAGAGACGGATAGATACACGAGGGCATTTCTGAATATTCGTGCATGTACTTTAGCATAGCTACAAACAGCAATAGACCCTCTAATGAAATCAGTCAATTTGCCATATTTAGTTCACAATTCTATAGCAGACAATATTCTCCATGCAAAGGGCTCTGAACAAAGTTTAGATCTCGGATTTTTGTTATTAATTTTTTTTTTGTATAAAATATTATCAGTTAAAAATATTACTACATGATTGAGTTCTTTTTTTTTTTTTTTTACTTAGCAGAAGCTTGTGTTTATTGAAGATATGATGACAAATATATAAGGAAATATTAATTTATTTGGAAGTCTAGTGAACAAGGAACCCATGAAAATTGAAATTAATGAGATCGAGGAGTCGGAGAAAGGACTAATTACCTGTGAGATTTTTGAAGCGGCAGAGACAGATGTGTTCTTTCACAAGCTGAGGCACCATGCTCATCAACAACAGCTAAGCCGGCCATATCAGTGAGGCCATGACCTACAATATTGATCGCCCATGGAGGCATTGCTCTATCTTTATCAGACACCAAGGTTAATAATTCACATGAAGACTTGAAGCCAGTAGTACAGTACTACAATTCAGCCACGATTTTTGATTTTATTATAATGGGTAACTGTGCTAGACCTAATCATAGAGTTTCTGCCTCACTAGAATCACCACCAAGATCTCAACACAAGGAATAATAATAATAATAATACCAGAAGAGAAAACGGCATCATTATATTGAGAGGGAAAATCCAATTACCTGTACATTTGGAAGTGCTCTTCACTGTTCTATACATCTGCGTGAACATTGAACAATCTCATCAGACAAGGAAAATGAGAAATAGAAGTCCAAGGCTAGGATGAGTCTCTGATTCTCCCGTCCCCCACCATTGCACTAGTGGAGGCAACTCGAAAACAACTAGCCATATTCGTAAACTTCTTTCTGGCGTAGAAAACTATAAAGGGAAAAAAGGAAACTGAGTGATGCGTTATAGATACCCCACTCACCTGTAAGTGACTCTTGACGTGTGCTAGGGTTAAATCTTTTACATTCATCAACTCTAACACTGACTTTGGAGTTGCCCCTGCCAGTATATTAAAACCAAAATCAGACATACAAACTTTGGAATCAAAGAGAAAGCATCAACTTTTAATTATACGATCGAATATTAAACTAAATGATGAAACTAATGATAGCATATGATGATGTATACTTTCATGGCCGCCAAGCAGCTGGACAGCATGAACAAAATGGGCATGGAGGCTTGTAGTCCATCGCATTCTAGGAGCTCTGATGCTCCTTTTCACACCACAGACGACTCTGGTGTTTCGTTTAAAGTCTCGAACATAGATTTGAGGTTGGGGGTTGCGAAAATGATGATTCGCGTTTCTCGGGAGGGGAAGGGGATTCAAATCTGCTATTTTAAAACCTAAGCTCAAAGTAATAGGCTCACGATAGCCAAGGTGCGAAAAGGCATTTTCATGGCTTAAATCACTCTCACTGCTTCCAGAATCGGAGGTGGAGCACATATCGCTGTGAGGCATTTTGGCAGCGAATCCCTTGGTGTAATTCTCCACTCTTTTCGCTTCACAATCCGGAGGACTGATGTTCAAGGAAAGCTCCGGGAAAGGTGTTAAGCTTCGCATTACGGGGTGGGGCTGCGAGGGAGTGAACATGGGGGACCTAAAGATCTGGGCTCAGTTACACACACCACGCCAGACGCATGCGGTGGTTAAATAGACAAGAAAATGGCAAAGAATAAAGGAGCAGAGTTTAATAAATGATGTGAAAAGGATATAGAAGATCAGAAATGGCATGAAACAGAAAAGGGTAGGAGAAGGAAGAGGAGAATGGAATGAAGGAGACTAAAAGCGTGATTATATCATGAGTGCCTCATGATATGCTTTAGTTTCGAGAGACGGATCAGGTGGGAGATATATAGCTAGGCTTTCCCTACGTAGCATTCGCTAGGGCTGAGGAGGGAGGATGAAAGTAAAAGTTTAAAGCGGTGATGAAGTAATTAAATGCAGCGAGAGTAGGAGTGACTGGTCAGACAGTAAAAGAAACGCAGGGAAAGGGAAGAAAAGAGAGAAGTGATCAGATTTTCTGGGGATGGTAGTTTGAACGGAAAGTAAGTGAAAAGGGGAAGCTAAGTAGAATATATATGGGACTATGGGAGCTGGGAGATGAGCTAGTCGTGGAAATGACTATGCCAGACAGAGAGAGATTTTTTTTTTTTTTTGGGGGGGGGGTTTGGTTTCTCATATGAGGACTTACACAAGTATCGAGGAAAGAGAGAGTGCGGGGAGGTTGCTGCGAGAACAAATTAAAAAACAAAAGGGACAGTATTCCACGGGAGAACTGATGAGCCTCTGCTGCTTATAACGCTGATGGATGGCGACGCAATTCAAATGAAATAGCGTAGCTGCTGTTTTTGTTTCTGTTTTAACACCATTTTCTTCAACTGGAATATTCCCGTTTTATTATCAACCAGATTGTGTTGGCTCCCCAGAAGATTAAATACTGCTCTAAACTGCACCTGCATCCTGATTAATGCTCTGCTCCATGCAGATTTCAGACGTCTCATTATACCTCATCCTCACTTTTTTTTTTTTTTTTTTTGGGTTGTGATAAACCACTTTGTGTCCGAACTGTTCAATTAACCCGAAATCGAACCGGGTTGGAACCATTTCGAGCATCAACTCTAGTTTCTCATTTTTCAACCACCATGCATCCAGGTTCCTTAATTTACTTTCACAAATGATGATGATGATGATGATGAATTTTGTAAAACCTCAAAGTTTTTCAACCCTGGCTAGCTCGAGGCCTTGAACTCGAATGATCATTATGTTTGTGATATACTATGTGTTATGTGATAACGCACAAGCACGACGTTGTTGAGGGAGCACGTATGGCCAATAAAACGCCAAGCTGTACACGTGCGAAACCTCTCGAGTAGAAATATATATATTCAAGTATTCAAGTATTCAACTAAAATTGGAGTCGTGAGAAATAAGAATTGAGAGAAAAGAATAATAAATTATTAATAATAATAATTGTGTCAGAGTGGCTATGATGTCCGGCGACACTACCCCGCACCCTCACATGCATTTTCACATTACTTTACTGTTCCTATTGATCTTTTTAAATATAGAATACAATAGTTGGTAAAAAAAAATATATAGAATACAATAGTTTTAAACACATGTATCATAAATTTGTCAAATATTCGTGACTAAATTATAAAGATTGAATCAAGAAATATATTGATTCTCTTAAGTTAATTCGAAGGATCATACAGCTGGAATATTGTAAATGAGCAGAACCGAATTTCAATTCGTTAGCGTCTAGGTTGCACAGATACAGATATGCATATTGAATACAATAATTATCCAATACATTGATACTATTATTTTTAAAAATATAAGATATGATACATTTTTTATAGGTGTATATATATTTATAAAAAATATTAAAAATAAAATTTTAATTTTAAAAATATTCAAATTGACATGCATATAATTATTTTTATTTTATTTATACCTAATTGCCTATCACCTAGTCCCTATTAATAGATATATTTATATCTTCTCCTTCTCGATTATCATAAAATTACATTTTCATATTTTTATAATTAAAAACATTTAATATTTTTTCTTTTATTACATTCAAAACTTATTTTTTTAACAAAAATCTAATCTTTGACTTTAAAAGCAAACCAAAAAATGATATTAGTAATAAGAAGTTTAATATTACAAGTTTTAATAATTTTTTAATTGTTAATTTTCAAGTGTCGATTAGCAATCTAGAAGTATCATATGCATATTAAAAATTAAAAATTTTTAAAATTAAAAAAAATATTATTTTAACACTTTATGGATGTATATTGAAAAAGTATTGGTGAGTATCTGTATTGAAAATGATATGGATACATATATGTAGAGTAATTTAAAGTATTAATACTTTCTAGGTTAGCATGTGACTGATGATCCAGTCTATCTTTAACAATTTCAAAATTTCAAAGTTAGTAAGAAGTTGAAAGATTATAGTGTTGTGTTGACACTCATTCTTATATAAAATATAAGCAATTTTTTTAAAAAAAAAACTTGCATACCAATAAAGTCTTTATTTCCAAATATATATATATATATATATATTTACTTATAATCCTAATTACTAATGTGGTTTATGATGATTGAGAAATACATTTATACAAATATTTAAATTAACAATATAAGGGATAAAATGAAAAAAAATTACATGTACTAAATTATTTATATTTTGAATTAAATTAATTAAAAGGAAATGCTTATATTTAAAAAGAAGGAGTATATAATACGAATGACATGGGTAGAGACTACACATAATACAATCTCAAATATTCCCTCGCCGTGTCCGTGTAATATAAACAAAGTCCAAACGCCTGTCGATTCGCGCGGGCGCGTGGAGGCCATATTGCTCGGCGTCAACGTGGCTTCCGTCACGTGACTCATCGGCGTCACCCTGTCCACCCCTTGTATGTATTCGTCGGCACCTCCATTTTTTATTACAAGCATACACAAAAACATTAAGATCGCAGCAAGTACTAGCACATATATAGCATATTTTTTTAATTACAGAGTATTGTGGTGCGTCTTAATTATGCTCGTACCCCTATGCTTAATTAATCTAACCCCTTTTTGTTTTATATTCCATGGTTTTGGTTGGTTTTATTAGGTGATGAAGATCACCATGAATATGTTAAGTTATAATAATCTGGTTTAATTTTGGAAGCTAAGGGTCAGCGCCTGATGCGCTCTAGATTCTCCGGGAAATGAAATTTTGCTTCTTTTACACATTTGTTTATAGCCCCGTCTGCATATTCTTTCTCCTTTGTCTTGGACTATATTGAACGATAAGGTTGTGATCAGATAATATCCGGTCAACATGTCGTTCTATGCTCCATTTGCCATGCTGTCAAAATGCTTCCCCTATATATTCCTTATTCCATGTGCTTGTCTTCCTTCTACTCGAACCCATTTCATCGCCATATTATTTTATTCAAGCAACATATATATGATATTTAGTTATAAATTGTAATCAAGAGCGTATATTGTCGCATTAATTAATGCTTTTTCATTCATTCTCCAAACTGTATGTTTGTGTGTATGTCAAGCAAGAACAGACACATATTGTAGGAATGCTAGTGGAACTATATTTTTGGTTCACCGACTCGCTGTGATGCTTGTGTTTTACCATTTATGGCCAATCTCACTCATATGGGTACTGATACATCCCTGTAACATTTCACATCCAGCTAGCGTGCAAGACGTGTACAGTGGTGCGCCACTAGCTATAATGTAGCCAGCCCAGTTCAAGAAATCCAGATTAATTGAACTTCGATCGATTCACCTTGATGGGATTAGGTAATACATAATATATACAATCATCTAACTGCGCGCGGGCCATTCTCCATGACAGCAACACAAGTTTGACATATGTGAAATCAGTGTTTCTATCAAAGCAATCCATTCATGAAGCAGTGAAATCTAACGAAGAGTGGATGTTTTTTAAATATGGTGGGAGGAATCTGCTCGGTTTAGCCAAACAATAATGCTAGAGATAGCTCGAGATTTGAGCTTTTGATCGTGATATGCAGCTCCAGGGTTTGATGCTTTTGTTAATAGCTAAATGACTGAAGAAACAACAATATTATATACATACATACATATATATATATATATATATATATATCACACACAAACACACACACAGAGGGTAATATTCGCGAGATCGTAATACAGCCATACAAGCATGTGTTGCTTTGAAAATAGAGTTTCACCTTCTCCCTTGCTCGTCTAGTCTGAGTATCAAAGAAACGACAAAGAAGAAACGAAAGGGGAATCGCCGAAATCAACGCCGTTTAGGCTGATGCGCTCAGGTTATTATAATAAATATAAAAGTGCTTGCATCCAGGAATCGTGTCGTTCAGCTTCAGCCAGAATTAATCAATTATTAACAATAATGTTTAAGTATATATAGCCTTTTTCGTTGCTTTTTGTAAAGAGGGACACAGCTTTTAGGGAAGACCGATGCTGCCAATACTTGTTGAGCATTAATCATGAGATAATAATGCACTAATGAGTGAACACAAAGGTCAAAACTCCCTTCCTTTTCAAAACATACTCATCCCTCACTCACCATAGGCTCTTCTCTCTTTCACATCTATTACAGCTGATAGCGATGTTATGGGTTTTAATATATATACACAAATCTATGGCCGGACAGTGAGAGCTGCTTTGCACAGCTTACAAAGCGCTGGGGGCGTCACGGTTTCAAGAGAGAATTGAGAATAATGTTATTCCACCATCCGTAAACCTAACCCACCTTTTTAATTTCTTGTAATTAGTAAAGGTATAATATCAGCAAGTTGTTGAATTCTGGAAACTTTCGTCGGACATTTGTTTCTTCGCTGACTAGGTACCTTTCAACATCGGAATCATTGGACATCTCTATTCATAGCCCTCTTAACAGTGTAACTTTCCGTGAATGAATGAATATCCTAACATTTGATCTCGACCCATTACACAATTTGTTTCAATAATAACAGTTCCTGCTATGAGCAAGCAATAATACTCAAAACATATCAGAATTCATGAATCACGTAGGACAAGAATATATAGCAGAGATGTTGAAGAGTGATGAAAAAAAGAGAAGATTAATTAGTGAAAGGAAAAGTTGAATATATATAATGGGAGTTTGTCGAGTATAAAGGGAAGAAAAAAACAAGAAGAAAGAGAGCCCACAGGGAGGCAGAAGAGCATGTGCGTGGAATCAGTTTTTGTTGGACATTTCAGAGTGTCCACTAAGTGTAACTGCTTCTTCTCAGACCCCTTCTCTGCTACTCCTCCACGCAACCCTCTGGCCCTCCCCCTTTCTCTCCATGTCCATGAAATATTAGACAAGTGTAACTCCAATTTCACCTTCATTATTCATTGTTCTCGTATAGTACCTGCATTATCCATCTCATCCATTTATGTTTCATATATTCACACTTTTTGCCTTTTAAATCTCCTTTCATTTTCCTCTTTGCCTGTTATATATTTCCCTGATTCTTCACATGCATGTACGTGCCAGTTTGAATTAACGACGTAGCTTCAAGTAGAAAGACAAGGTTTAGCATTCATGATGCACCACCCAAAAGTGATCTCATATTTACTTATGACGATGGTGGAATATTTCAAACACTTCTCTTAGAATTCCCAGTTGGCCAAAAAAAATAACATTTCTCTCTTAGAATTATGTCAGATCAGTGGCCCTCCCGTTCTCATTTCAATGTCATTTGTCAGGCCCTTGCTTAGCCGAGTTCTTAATTAGACAACCAAAACCTAATGCGTCAACTAATTACTAAATAAATTGTTATATCTTTCAATGCCAGCTCCTTCGTATAATTAATAGAGTATTTTTTTTTTCCCCCGGTATTGCTTCAAAAACAAGGTAGCCATGAGGGTCAGGAAAAAGGCAACAGACAGAGAGGAAGAATGGTCATTAATCTTTGTTTCATTATGGAGACAGAATGCCTGGTGGCCATTGAATAATTTCCTATCGTGTGGGACCATTTAAAAAATCTCTGTGAAGCTCGTATATTGTAAATGACAGGCAATAATATAAATTTGTCGTACTATACGTGATTTAAACTAGGAAAATATCAATAAAGATCCCTCAATCAAATTTATTTTAAATCAAAACTCTTAAATTTCTGAAATATCCCTGCAATCAAAGGTCTTGATTTGATATTAAATTTCTGAAAAAAATAATAAAATTATCTCTCATTTAAATTAATATCAAAATTATCCTATTTCACTTATTCATTGTCCTGCTTCATTTATTCAACTGTTCATTTCTCTAGAATGAAATCAAGTAAAAGTCTAACAATGAACAGATAAATTAGGACAATGAACAATAGTTTATAAATAAATAAACAACGTATAGTATAGGATTTAACAAGTTATCTTAAGATAATTTAACACCTAAAATGAAAACAAATTAAATAAGGTAGTGAATAATATTTCATAAATAAATGAACAAGTGAAATTAGACAGTTTTAATATTAATTTAAATAAGGAGTAATTTTATCATTTTTTCATAAATTTAATATCAAATCAGACTCTTAATTATAGTAACATTTCAAAAAATTTAAAACTTTATTTTAAACTAAGTCTGATCAAGAGGTCTTTATTAATATTTTCCCTTTAAACTATAGTCTAGAGTGAGGGCTTGGGACAAGGCTTTTTTGGAGGGCAAAGAAAGAAAAGAAAAATTGATGTGTTTTACCTTGTGGTTTGAATTAATAAAAAGGAGCAGGGAGGGCAAGCAGAAATCAACCATATCAAAAGTGCGTGGAGGGGAGTCATCAACCACAGCCCATACATTCCAACCGTTTGTGGGCTTTAAAGCCATGGTTATTGCTCATGATGGGCCTGGTAGAGTCCAAGAATGAATCTATCTGTCTATTTTGTCTCAATTTCACTTGAATTTTACATATTTAAATAACACTCATTATCTATGGATGGAGATCTAATATATTTGAAGGTCAAAAATATATTTATTTACATCTTAATTTGAATTTAAAAAATAAATAAATACCAGAAAACTATGCCAGGTTCAGCCCTGAAAAAGAAGAAGGAAAGTTAAAGCTAATACTTGTTGAAATCTTCAGTGTAATTGAAAAAAAAAAAAACTTGTTATGGCTAATAGCCTTATCATTTTTAATCACACTATTTTCTTTCCCGCATCAATTAGCAATTTACACTTGACTTTTTAATAGGTATCTCTATCAAAACCACTCCCAATTTCGGCCACTACGTCAGTATAAAAAACCCAAAGATACCAAATTTTAAATTCCTGAAGCAAATATTTGCACGATGGAAGAAGTTCCCGGCTCTTCTTTTCTTGTGTATAGCATGCAAGGCAACTAGTTTGTCTACCTCCTAGTTTATATAGGTTTGCATTTGATCCCTATCACATACATTCCACGGGCATTGAGATATGTTTAGTACAGATACTTAGCATGCACTCGTGACTCACCCAGTCACCTGCTATGAGCTATCTATTCCGGAGATATGAAGTCGCAAGGCCTTTAATTTCCAAATTCTAGATTTAAATCATCACAGAAAGTATGCGAAAAAAATAATAATATGTTTATATGGATATATATCTGGGGAAGTGACATCGTTATTCCTAGATTAATCTCTGGTGTTTCCTTATGCCTCTTCATTATCCGATCTTCATCAAAATTTTATTTTCTTGCGCCCCCTGGGCATTTGCTGACTCCACTGCTTCAGTTTCCGATTTCTTGGGTGACTGCTGGCTTATTTACTTTGCATGACCTTCTTCAGGGTCTTGAGGCTAACGTAATCTGAGTCTTAGTATCCACGGTCCGCTAGGGAAGTCAGGTAAGATTCATTTTCAAAATTTTATCCTTGGTCCTCCTTCAGAACTTCGTCATGGTAAAGAAGTTGTGAACATTTAATTAAACGGAGACAAGTCATGGAAATGAGAATGGAAGGACCTTGCCATTGATTTCCATGATCCCTGCACCCAAGTATGTATACAATACATATATACTTCTTATTATAAAATATTTCTAATCACTTCATTAAAATCAATAAGAAATAATTAAATGATTAACTTTTTCTAAAAATAAAATAAAATTTTCATTTTACTCCTATTTAAATAAAAATTTTCAAAGCTACATTACAATCTTTCTCACAATTAATTAGTTTAAACTCCATTCGTCTCAAATTATAAAGTACTTTTAAAAGAGATTCGTCGTATTAAAATATAAGACACTTTAAAAAAATTAAACTTTCATTAAATATGCTTGTTCAAATATTATTCTTTATCTCTCTCTATTTAATTGATGTTCTATTTCTTTTTAATATATTAAATGAAGGTTATTTTTAAAACTTTATATTGTTATTTTAAAAATACAAGGTTACTAAATATATTTAATGAAGTTAATTGATATATAAAATTTTATTTAAAAGTGTCTTATAATTTAAAACAGAAATAATATAAGGTAATATTGCAAAAATATAATTAACACCTCATTACTTATATTAAGAATATCAATATATTTTTAAAGAAAGGGAAGTGTGCGTGTTGTGGGTGGGTGTGGGTGGGTGATCGATAGATCCATTTATTTGTTCAGAGCCACGTCAAAATCCAAGCGCAGCCAAAGATATGCTAAACACACTTGTAAAATCCAGAAACCCATTTAAAGGGGGCATAAACGCGTGCTACAGATTGCAAAAGATTCCACACTTCAGAGATTATTGCTCATCAAATCTTTATGATGCTGTATATAGGTATTTAGACACAATCCAAACTACAAAATACTCCCTTTGTAACTTGCAGTGGTGTCTGCTCCAAGTGGTAGCTTCAATGCTGTTTCTTCAATTTTCACCTGGTTACAGTGTATCAATTACAAATTCTTGAGAATTTGATTTATTCGTCGACAGACATATTTATGTTTCCTGTGATGTTCATCGCAATTCCCTGTCCCGCCCGTGTTCAAGGAATGACGTATAGCAAACAAGAGAGCTGACACCCCTTGGGAAACTAATTAATTCTTGACAGAGAACTCCATTCTTGAGATGAAATTCCACAAGAGAAATACAAGTTTGGTTTAAAAAGAGGCTATTAGTTTAGTTTTAAACTCGAATTAGATTACGTACATAATTATATTCACTGGTGAAGGATTAGAAGCACAGGACTACAGGTATCAGGCAGAAGAAGCAGTTTTCAAATCCACTGAACTAAGACTGTTGAGAAATAAACAAAACTGAGTTGGCGTAGGCGGCATTGGAGCAGCAAGGGCTACCTACTGCGGGATTCAAATTTCAACGATTATTAAGAACCAAATTTAACATCCCAAATCCAAAATACAAATAAAATTATGAGTCATGATGCGCAAAGGAAGGGAAAAGCAATTAAATTATACAGTAAAATACAACTTGCTAACCACTGACGGTTTCTCTAAGCCTCGGATTCCTCCAGCCATGCTTCAATTCGTAGAAGAACAAAGCCAACAGCAACTCCAATGAGAACGAGACCATTCATGATAGCAGCAATCTGGAAAATCTCGCCGGCGGCATTGCAGGTAGAAGAGAGAGCTCCTCCTCGCTTGCCTTTTCCTTTCCCACTCGATGCAGTGGCTCTCATCGAGTTCACCATCTTCGCAAAACACTGATCAGCGCTCAGAGGAAGCCCCAACGAGACGACGCCGTTTTGTGCCTTTAAACCCCCAAATGAATTGAAGCCTCCGACGCATACCTCCTTCTTCATTCTCCTCCGGGTGGTGGCGGCGGCGGCGGCGGAGCATGCCGTGATGCTGGGCGAGAGGGTAGCTGATGCCATGGCCATTTTTTGATTTGATCGTTTACGGCTCTTCCACGCGTACAGGAACCAAACTTGGAGAGTTAACGACTCACTCGCCAATCACTTAACAGAAGAATTCGACCGGGAAAAAAAAAAGAAAAAAACTTAATGGAAGAAGATGAAATGGCAGTGTTGTGATCACAGAATGAGAAAATTTGGATAAGCGAACTCGGATTTTGGATGGATGACATGAAGAGCAGGAATGACGACACATCATCACCAAACGATAAGACTTGAGCGGTGGGCCTCCTCTACCCTTTTGGGCCTTCAGTCACATTTGGGTCACACAAATCCTCTCTTCATATCCATTCTTCACCCGTTTATTTTGTCCCTTGCAAATGATTCATAGATTTCTACCCAAAAACAAAACAAAACAAAACAAAACAAAATGATTCACAGATTTAGAGCCTGTTTAATTTTAATTTTAATTTTTTATTTTTAAAAATCATTCTGTAATATAATTTTTAAAATTATTTTTAAAATAAAATAAAAAATTTTTAGTTATGTTGACTAAAAAAAATTTTGCAATTAAAAATAGATTGATAGTGATAGTTAATGGTAGTGATTAATAATAAAAATTGATCAAGGTAACTATAATTTTTAATAATCAAATGTAGTGTATTTTAAAAATAAAAAAATAAAACAAAAACAACTTAAATTTGTTTCTATTTTTTGTTTTTAAAAACACAAAATAAAAACAATTTTGAAAATAATTAAATGAAAAGCATCCATCCAAATGAATTTTTAAATTCTTTTGTTTTTAAAAACAAAAAAATAAAAATAGAAAACAAACAAGCTTTTAGTATACAAAATAAATCTCCGTTGCTCAATCTCTAATTAGTAGATAAAAAGTTCTTCATCTGTGTTTTTTTTTTTATGGGTTTCTCTCTGCTTTTTCTCTTCATTGTAAATCTAAATCATTCAAATTAAATTTATATTTTATAAATTTTTAAATCTAATTTAACAGTTTAGACTTGTACTGATTTCTCCTTTTCTCTCCTTTGTAAAGGAAAAAATCCAACTCTTTTTTTTTTTTTTGCCAAAAGTTCTCCATCTTTGTTAAAAATGCCGTTTTCGAACCCCTTTAATGATTTTTTTTTAAAACAAAAGATATTTGAGAACCCTAATACTTCGTTTTTTTTTTATAAAGATGTTTTTTATGTATTATAAAAAGTCTAAAAATTGAGTATTCATTCGTTATTAGTGAATAGCGTGATTTTTTAACAGATTTTTGTCTCACACATATTTATACATTTAAACATATGGATAATATATTGATGTGAACCCTCCCTCGCTATTGCCCCTCTCCGTTTTTCAAATGGGAGGATTTGGAAATGGTGGTTGGGTTCAGAAATTGGTTTGACTTGAATGGGTGTATACGCATTTGCATTTGGCTTGATAGTTTAGCCTCTCGAGAGTTTATACTAACGGATAATTGACGTCTCATTTCCTTTAGTTATAGAATTAACTTCCAACAATTACAATTAAAGATATGTCTGCTTGTCATTTTCAGCTAAAATCATCCTTACACTTGCGCATGTGAAAAGAAAAGGAATGAGTAAGATGGAAAGGTAACGCTGCACAAGATGCTACGTGGACGGCATAGCCAGTACTCTTCCTTTCAACATATCATATAAGCATCCTTCTCTCTTTTGGCGGACGCCATTTAGAAAGGAGCTGAAGAAATTCAAGTGGGTTTGAAAAATTTGAACTTGAGTCCACTGTTGACCATGCTCCAGACACCTCCTATCGAGAAGGCTAAGCTAAAAGCAACCCCCAACCAACCCAGAATCCAGTTGAAATACCAATTGAAGCTATATTTAGTTGGCTGTTTTATGAGGACCCACATGAAGCAAGGATATGCAAAGGTGACTGGAAGAGTGAGTCCTCCTAACAAACCAGCAAGGCTAGAGAGGAAGGGAAGGGCCACTCCTATGAAGAAGTTGACAAATCCATAGAATACTCGGAATCCTGATCTCACCCATATGGAGCATGGACGATTTGTTCTGCTGGTGTACCCTGCTTCGAAACTGTCAAACACCGGCATCGAGTATATTTGGAAGCTACTCAAGCAGTTAAACACAACCAGAAGGAAAGTCAATGCCAGTAGCGCTCTTGTAATGTCATGACTGTGAAATGCGTATAGAGCGCTCAGCATCCCTCCTGAAGGCATCTGTCACCAAACAAGAACAATATCAAAACCGTTTATCCTTTCCATACAGTGAGCCTCAGATTTAGTTTAGTGGACTTACGAGATTACCATAGGCCCAAAAGCCACCTATAGCCACTGGGAAGAGGCACATTGCGATGAAGAAATAAGCAACCTTGGCTCCTTTCCACATCGGCACGTGAGCTGGGTGCTTAAAGGTTGATGGCATTGTTGCCTGAAGTTAAGAAGCCAAGAGATGAAGTCAGCTTTAAAAGGTGAAAGAAAACAGATAAATGCGACGATGGCAGCTCATTTTAGTACCTGAATTTCTAGGACCAAGTTGTGGCCTCTGAAAGCGAAGGCTACAATTCCAAGAGCATTCAGGGCAGAAAAGGCCGAAGCAGAAGAGGATGATAAAGAAAGGGGATGGTAAGAGATGGAGGGTGGCCTAGGCTGGCTCACCGAGAGAAGCCAGACCATGGAGGAGTAAGTGATGGCAGTGACAGCCCCTACAAGGGAGAGGCCTGCAATTGAATTCAGGTTTGGAAGCTGAGACAGAACAATGGACAGAGAAGTGAAAACGAGGTACCACTCCACTGTAGTCAAAGGATTAGAGGTACAAGCGGGACCACAAACTATTTGGAAGAACAGTTTCATGGTCTCTCCACCCACGAGAATTAAAGCAGTTGCTGTTCCCGCGGACAGATAAATAGTAGGGAAGAGTGCAAGCCATACGCCTAACTTTTCCCCTGCCAAACACTCAATCAGAACAGTTTGTCTATTAGGACGCTTATATAGCATTCACATGCACACACTTTCTTTTATGGTGTTCGTGCTTGATCGTTTCTCTATTTGACAGTTTGACTAACCAGCTTGTCCTATTACTGGAAGGAGGTATTCACAACAACGAAAACTCATATATGCTTCTTTAGTAAAGTAGCTTTTCATACCAATATTGCAGAACCAGCTATAGTAAGAGTCATTGCTGGGATAGTAACGTACGTACCAAATGCTGCTTGTGCAAGCTCCAAATACCTGTTATACCTTTTTCCTGGAACTGCTTCGTGTAGCTGTATCAGAATCCACAAAGTGTAAAGCTGCCAACAATATGCAATCGTTAAGGAAAGAATTCCCCAACTCCTGAAATACATTTGGAAAGAATAGTTCTATGTGAGCCTCATAATATTCTTCCATAAGCCACAACTTAACTAAACTGATGCTAATCCACGTACAGACCTGCGTCTAGTATATGGAAACAAAAGAATTGTCTCAGTAAACATCCTCAAAAATTACTGCTGCAGTCTCTGTTATATTTGGGAGTGTTTTATTTAACCTCTGATTTGTTGCTTTATATAATGAAATACATGGATATTACGTATAGCAAGTTCTGGTTGAAAATAGATATTAAGTAAGATTAAATATGTTCTAGCATAACAAAGATAATTTCTTAAAAAAGGAGAATAGTGGTCAAAGTACTGGCAAAAAAGATGTAGCTAGAGCAATGACCAGCATTGGGGACCTTTTGTCCATTTGCCGAAGGAAGAATATGGATTACGAATTACGACTTCCAAGTGGACCCACGGCCAAGATGGCCTTTAGCTCAAAATTGTTGTACTTTGGAAAGAGCAAAAGATAAAGTGGCAGAAATCATCAAATCACTTGTCTTGAGCGTGTTTCTTTCTTCTATTCATACCGTCAAATCCATTGATTAACCTCGATACATGGAAAAAGCTTACATCCCTTAAGGACCGAATCTCAGCTTTTCTAAGCTTTCTTTCGTAATTCTAAGACTGTTCTAACAAGTTGTGAGGCGGTGGGACGGCAAAACTTGTTGCAGATTAAATAAGAGCATCTGGTCATAATGTCATCAAGAAGGGAAAAAAGTTTCTGGCCACAAGAGAAAAAGGAAACAAAGAAACTTCCAATGCGATTGACTAAAAACATACTACGAGGTGAAATTTAGTAAACACAATTTTAGAGGCATTCTGGCAATATTTTGAGGTGAAATTTAACAGAACAAAGACGACTGAATGATGCGTATCAAGGATATATGGAAGCTTGATGGCTGAGAAGCGAAATGCAAATATTAACTACAAGGTTATGGAGCAAAAACAAGGGAGATGAAAATCGCTTTCCTCAGACGAATTTAATATCGCAGGAGACTCGCAGATGCATGTATTCCGGAAAAGAAATCTGCTGGCGAGAGCAACAGTCAAAGAAGCAGAAAGCTAGGAAGGACTCGAATACACTGTAATATGTAACTAGAGAGAGATAAAGTGCAGGAATGAGATTAAAAACTAAAAAGCACTCTTCATTATTGGAAGTCTAGTTTCCCTCTCCGGTCAGAGGCAGAGAAAGAAGAAACATGTCAGCGATGGAGTGAAGAAAGCGAAGGAATCTTGACGTACCAGCCGAGATAAGCGAAAGCAACGGGCAAAACCAAGGCTTGGAAGCCGACCCCGGCATTGAGGTTGTGAAACGCAGCGTAATGAGCATTTCCATTGCGCGACTCCGTGATGGGAAGCCACGCATCCTGAGGGTTCAGCTTCGTGAGGTGGCCCACCTCCTCCAAGTAACCCTTCATGTTTATGAGCACCCTCTTCATCGGCGTCCCTATGGGGCTCAGGAACCTTGGCGATATCAGCGACGTCGGAGTCCAGGCGTTCGACGACTTCGCCTCCTTCAACGTCAGCCTCGGCGACCTCTGCCCCGACGGCGTCTGCGTCTCCGGCGTAGCCGGTATAGATATCAAGTCCGTCTCCGGCCGCTCGTCCATCTTACTCTACTCGCGTGGGTCCCCACTTCCTTGTTTTAGATCGTCTCAAGTAAAGTCTATAGCTACAGGTGAAATGTAGTGAGGGGGAGGGGGAGAGGGAGAGGGAAATATAGAGCGCCAGAGGAGAGAGGTAAGAGGGTGAGTGTGAGAGAAGAAGGGGAAGGCGCGGGAACGAAGTGCTGTAAAGTGACATGGTTGGTCAAAAGAGATCAAATCATTTTTTTTTTAAAGTGGAAAAGGAGATCAAATCTGAATGAGAATGGCGCATCTTCGAGTGATGTGGCCATTTTTGGGGGGTGGGTCCGACGAATTTTAATTTATTTTTTTTAACTTTTTCTGGATATAAAGGATCCAAACTGGTGGAGAACTAGGAGGGCATTTCAAAAGAGAAGAGAGAATCGGACGTAGAACGAGGAGAGGGGAGCGGTGAAGTAGAGTTGAAAATAGCAGCAAAACTTTAAAGGCCTGATTGTTTATAAATTCGACTCTCAAAAGCCTAATTTTTAAAGTTTAATTTTTTATTTTTTACTTTATTATTTAAATTCAGTCTTTTATAAAAGATTTAAGATTAAGCTCGCACGCTCTTTTTTAAAAAATAAAATAAAATTAAATATTAAAAATTAATTAAAATATTTTAAAATTAAAAAAATTAAAATCCTTTTAATTTTTAAAATTTAAATAACATACATTTAAAAGTTTAGTAATAAAATTTAAATTTTAATTAAAAATATTTTTTAAATATAAAAACACAATAATTATAAAAAATAAAAAATATCATAATTTTATATTATACATTGATATTTATTAAATTATATTAAATTAATTTTAAAATAAATAAAAATTAATAATATAATGTGTATGAAATTAGATGAGTAAGTTATTAATTTTAAATACATATTTTATTAATAATAATAATAATAATATAATACTTGAAAAATCGTCCATATTTAAATTTTTTTTACAAGGTCTATTAAAATTAAATTCTCAAACTCGATTAAAAAAATTATTTTTAAATTTTTAAATTTTTATTTAAATAGAACTATCAAATTTGACCTCGGATGAAGGCCCGCCGCCTCGAAGTTGTGGGAAGACGACATCGGAAAAAGGTGTGGCGGGAAAAGCAAGGGGACGTTTGATGTCAGGTTTTGCAGACACAAGCACGTGCCTCCACCTTCAAAAAAAAAAAAATCAAATACATGTTCCTGCGCCCGGCCCGTGCTGCCGAAGTCAGACTGCCGTGACTGATTGCACACCTATCATTTATCTATAATACTATACATTACAGATTCTTCAAACAAAATGAAAACGGGGGAGTTGCTTTTTTTTTCTTTTTTTCTTTTTTCATCCCACGCAGAGGGGGCTCATCTTAATCGTCGGAGCAGAAAATAGGCCATTTCTTATGTGGATTTATAAAATTTTGGTGAGTCAGCTTACGAAAACCTATTAGTGTCATGGCTGACTTTACAACTCAAAAAAACACGTTTATTAGTGTAATCACTGATAAATGAGCGCAAGCTGGCTAATAAAAAGGCATTAATAAACCTACAGAAAAAAGGGACAGAAATGTACAAAACAAAAGGGCAAATAATAATTTTACGTTGCAATACATATTCTCAGTTTGCATGTATGATATAGTGATAGATATTGCCTCCATTTTAAAACAACCATTGTTTAAATTTATGGAAACGATTATGTAATTTATATTGTCTAAACTGTTAATATATTCGTATAAAAATAATTGTGCTTGGTCAAAACATTCTTATATTAACAAGTTACTTTTAAGCAAGCTAAGTATTTTGACGACAAAGAAAAATTCTTTTAAAAATATTTTTCATTGAAATTAAAACTCTGGAGCAAGATGATTATCTCGAAATCAATGTTTTATGGCCAGTGCCGAACGTACAAAATTTTGTTAGTGGGCCAAAATTTATATCAAACAATATTAATATTCGACAAATATAATTATAAATATTGATTAAATGGATAAAAATAATTTTGTAAAAATTAAATACACAATAAATAATAAACAACTATGAAATTATAATAAATTTTAAAAAATTATCTTAATATAATAAAAAAAATTAAAAATGATAGAATAAGTGGTAGCTATTAATATTAAACCATGATATCCTTTTTTAATCAAAGAATCATGCACTTCTAAAATATATTTTTTTAATATAAACCATTAAAAATACTTTACATATTATTAGAAAGTGTTGCCTTTGAGTATGAATGAGTACAGCTTAAAAATTAAAGAATTTGGCCTTATTATATTTTAGAAAATATAGATTAATATTTTACCAGAGAAGTTGAAAAAATATTTAATAATATTTTATTATATACTTATATTTATAATATGAACCAACATTCTTTTTAATTTCTATACCTCTATCTCCTACAAAATCAGTATTAAAGATAATATTAACTTTTGACTGAGAAAATGTTCGCGCAATAACGAGGGAAAACAGAAATTTTAAAAAAAAATTGAGGATGCAAGATTTTTTTTTTATCACATTTTTCTAGAGGGGGCAAGTGAAACTTTTTTTTATTATTATTAAACAAAGCCAGCATTCAAGATTTAATAACGATTACAAATAGTTGGGGTTTTTAAGTAAAATCTTTCAAGTAAAACTCTTCACCTAGTACAACTAAGACATTAAACTGGTATAGTGGGAGCAGCTACCCCATTGGCTTAAACTTAGGTCTATCTTTGTTTTGACCCATACTGATCTAGACAATTAGACCGTCATCTAAATAAAAAAAAGCAACTCAATTTGATTGATCTATTTTAAAGATTGACATGTTCTAAATCATTTTGAATTGACTTTGACCAAACTAAAATTGATAATGTCATTTTGCCTTTTTACTCTTGTTTTAATAATAATTTTTTTATTTAATTTAAAAGCATTAATGTCAATTCCTCCGTGAGTTGTTGCGTTAAAATTTTAAATAAATAATTTGTTTATTAATATTATATGAATTAAATTTTAGAGAAAATTGAAAATGCTTTCACTTTAAGGGGACAAGTAAGGAAAAAAGAACTTGTATATGAAAAAATGATGATGAAATTAAAATTTAATATGTTATGGCTGAAATAATTATCAATTGATAATGATACTGTCGATACTTTTTATGTTTAATATATATACATATATATAAATATTTTTTTATTTGATTATTATGTCTCTGACTTAATCACTGATTCAACAGATTAAACTATAAAAACTATAACTCCAACCTATTTGGATTGTTGTATGGTCTAGTTTTTTTTTTTTATATTTTTTGCTTTGCTTGCACACTACACTCTTTAAATGAAAGCTTCCCACAACATACACACACCCTACCCTAATTTGAATTTGCCACCTCTCCCATTTTAGGGTGGCTTAGGTGCCACTAGGCCTACATGCTTTGACAATAAAATATTGTTTGAAGGAATATCAAAATTTTAATACAAGAATCATTTAAAATGAATGTGAGTTAGCAGGTAAAAATGCCTCGAAAGTTTTTTAAAATGAGCCATAGGTATCCTTACCTTCCATATGATTGATATTGCTTTAGATGTGTTCAAAGTGGAGCAATGTCGTCATTTCCTAGCCTTTAAATATTTGACTAATAAAATTTTCTTAACCTATAAAGGTTACACTTGCCACCCTTTTCCTTTATTTTTGGTTATCCACGCTCATCGTGTCCCTCTCTTTTGAAGTTCGAGCATTATTGAATATAGGAGTCATGTTCTTCCAATGATGGCTTGAGTTCAAGGAGGCAATGCCTTCGGGAGAAGTTGAGGAGCAGCAAAGCAATGGACACCGCTAGTGGGAGCTATGATGATGTAATGTTCACCTTGACATTACCAGAACAACACTCTAACACACTGTTGTGATAACCAAGATTAATTAAAATCTTAAGAAAAGTCATAACAACCTAAGGATTTAGAGATATAATTTAAAATATTAGGATCCTAAGAGAACCCTTTTTAAAAAATTATTTGAGCTCAAATTATAGTTTAAAAGAAATTATGCGAGATCATATAAGCATGAAAACTAAAAAACAACTTAAAAAAATATTAGAATAATTTAGAATTTTCTAGGATTTGGCGTCATTTGTCGTGGCAAATGGCACAGAGAGCAAAGGCTCTCGCTTACACTTGCATTGCTACACGCTTGTCATGCGCATGTAACATTCCAGTTTTTAATTCCTTGATTTACTAAGCTTGATTATGATAGTTAAGTAAGTGACGTGGTGTCTAATCAGAGGAAAATAATAAGTGTTTTTAGTTAGATTTTTAGGTATAATTTAGGCCTAAAGTGAAATTGGGTCACTTAAGGACCAAAAAGTGGATAAAAACAAGTTGAAATCTCTGTGCCACATGTTGTGGCATGTGCGTGGTGCCCAAGGTCATAAAGCAATAATTGTCTTCTCTATACCACATACAGCAGCGTGCGGGGACAGGCGCTGCAGTGCACGATGTGAATTCTGCAAAAATAAGTCTCGAACTGATATGAAAAATAAAAGGAGAGAAAATGAAAATAAAGGAACTCATATTTGCTCTGCTAGAGCACAATCCAAGGGAGGATTTGAGAAGGTTTAAAGCTTTAAATCATCTAAGGTAAGATTTTTAAACCCTTTTTCTCCCTTTCTCTTTCACTTTCTCAATGATTTGAGTTAAGTTTTGAATGAGGATGATGATTTTGAATTTCGATCTATATAGGATATGGGTCTAAAACCCATTGACTCAAATGTAGTTAATGGGAGTTGTTTGGAATATTTAAATATAAAATTAATGATTTTGATGGTTATTGGATGGTTGGTTCCATTAATGTTCGAAAATGGACATTAAATCTGTCATAATTATAGTTTTAATGGCAATGTGGGTATTCAATGAAGCTATATAATGTTAAAGATATATAATAAAACTAATGGGTAGGCCCAAATGTAAGCAACATAAAAAGGGAAGATTCGAGTTGCAATGTGTAAAATGGACAATGTTAATGAAAGTTAACTTAATAAATTATAGATTGAGCTCTTGGACACCTATTTAACTTGAAAGCTATAACATTGAAGAATAAACCTTTGATTTCTCAAATATTTTAGGTAACTAGGAAAACTCTACTTTACACAGTTATGTGTTAATTGTAATGTGGTGTTAATTATGTGTTCAATATGCAAATTTTGACCTGT